ACTGTCCTCCCCAAATGGGTGAGATGGAAACCTGTAATTATTTTACATGATGTTAGTAGTGCTGGTGTCTTTTTTCTGTTCATAAACACACAAGATAACAGGTATATTTGCTACTTCAATAGGTCACACTACACATGCTTGTACATGTTTTATATATACACACTCATCTGAGTTTTCTTTGAATTTTTCTTAATAGTTTTTTTTTTTTTCCAACAAGTCGGCCGTCTCCCACCAAGGCAGGGTGACCCAAAAAAGAAAGAAAATCCCCAAAAAGAAAATACATTCACATCATTCAACACTTTCCCCACACCACACATTATCACTGTTTGCAGAGGTGCTCAGAATACAACAGTTTAGAAGCATATACTTAAAAGAAAACACAACATAATCCCTCCAAACTGCCAATATCCCAAACCCCTCCTTTAAAGTGCAGGCATTGTACTTCCCATTTCCAGGACTCAAGTCCACATATGAAAATAACCGGGTTTTCCCTGAATCCCTTCACTAAATATTACCCTACTCACACTCCAACAGATCGTCAGGTCCCAAGTATCATTCGTCCCTTTCACTCCTATCTAACACGCTCATGCACGCTTGCTGGAAATCCAAGCCCTCGCCCCAAAACCTTCTTTACCCCTCTTTCCAACCCTTTCGAGGACGACCCCTACCCCTCCTTCCTTCCCCTATAGATTTATATGCTTTCCATGTCATTCTACTTTGATCCATTCTCTCTAAATCCCAAACCACCTCAAAAACCCCCTCTTCTGCCCTTTTGACTAATCCTTTTATTAACTCCACACCTTCTCCTAATTTCCACACTCCGAATTTTCTGCATAATTTTTTAAAACCACACATTGCCCTTAGACAGGACATATCCACTGCCCCCAAACCGTCTCCTCGCTGCTGCATTTACCACCCAAGCTTCACATCCATATAAGAGTTTTGGGTACTACTATACTTTCATACTTCCCTTCTTTGCCTCCACAGATAACAGTTTTTTGACTCCACATATACCTCAACGCACCACTCACCTTTTTTTCCCTCATCAATTCTATGATTAACCTCATCCTTCATAAATCCATCCGCCGACACGTGAACTCCCAAGTATCTGAAAACATTCACTTCTTCCATACTCCTCCCCCAATTTTATATCCAATTTTTCTTTATCTAAATCATTTGATACCCCATCACCTTACTCTTTTTTATGTTCACTTTCAACTTTCTACCTTTTCACACATTCTCAAACTCATCCACTAGCCTTTGTAATTTTTCTTTAGAATCTCCCCCAAGCACAGTTTTCATCAGCAAAAAGTAACTGTGTCAATTCCCATTTTTAATTTGATTCCTCATAAATTTAATCCCACCCCTCCCCGAACACCCTAGCATTTACTTCTTTTACAACCCCATCTATAAATATATTAAACAACTATGGTGACATTACACATCCCTGTCAAGAAACCCACTTTTACCGAGAAGTATTCTCCCTCTCTTCTACACACCCTAAACCCGAGCCTCACTATCCTCATAAAAGCCTTTACAGCATTTAGTAACTTACCACCTATTCCATATACTTGCAACATCTGCCACATTGCTCCTCTATCCACTCTATCATATGCCTTTTCTAAAACCAAAATGCAATAAAAACTTGCCTACCTTTATCAAAATACTGTTCACATTATGCTTGAATGTAAACACTTGATCTACACATCCCCTACCCACTCTGAAGCCTCCCTGCTCATCCGCAATCCTACATTCTGTCTTACCTCTAATTCTTTCAATTATAACCCTACCGTATACTTTTCCTGGTATACTCAGTAAACTTATTCCTCTATAATTTTGCATTCTCTTTTGTCCCCTTTCCCTTTATATAAAGGGACTATACATGCTCTCTGCCAATCCCTAGGTACCTTCCCCTCTTTCATACATTTATTAACCCTTTGAGGGTTTTCGTCGTACTAGTACGTTTTTACGCGTAGGGGTTTTTGACGTACTAAATACTCATAAATTCTAGCGGCCTCAAATCAATGGGAAAAGCGGTAGGCCTTCATATGAAAGAATGGGTCTATGTGGTCAGTGTGGGACAGTCTAAAAAAATCCTGCAGCACAAAAGTGCATAATGGAAAAAAGAACTTTTTACCATTTTTTTTTAATAAATCAGCGACTTTGCAGTGTATTTTCGTATGGTATTTATTGTTGTATTCTAGTTTTCTTGGTCTCATTTATAGAATGGAATACATATTACAGAAATTGAGATGATTTTGACTGGTTTTACAAAGAAAGGGGCCTTGAAATTGAGCTCAAAGTAGCAGAAATGTTCGATTTTACCAAACTTCAAAAGTAACAAATCGTGCCAAGCATGCAAAACACGTCAACTGGTGAGTCTAATATTCTTTCACAAGTGCACCAATAATATTTATACCATTTTTTTTTTTTTTTTCACTAATGCAGTAGTCTGCATAACAGTAATCTTATTTTTTTGTGAAAATAAAAATTCAAAGTGGAAAGCAAAAGAATATAAGAGGGACTTGAGACATGACTAATGACTAGGGGAAATGTCTTTTTAGTGCCAAGAAGTCTTTCTTGTTTATTCTGGACCCTATTCCGAAATTGGCATCTTTTTGAAATTTGTGTGAAATTGGCAAAATTGCTAAATTCTGACCACGGGTACTGGATAGTTGAATTTCATAAATGAGTGGTTTCTTGCATCCATTCGATAGCAAAAATGGAGTTCTAGCGAAATATTCATGTTTTTTGTCGACTAGTACAGTGAAATTGGCCGAAAAAGGGGCTCAAAGTGGGCAAAAATCCCCGATGCGTAAACATCGCCGAGCCGCTAACTTTGCGAGAGCATAATTCCGTAAGTTTTCTATCAAATTTCAAACTTTTGGTGTCTTTATGATTCGGGAAAAGATTCTCTATCTTTTCATAAGAAAATAATTTTTTTTTTTTTAAATTTTGGCCGACCCTGAGAACGAGTTTCGGAGAGGGCCTGTCGACCCTCAAAGGGTTAAATAAAAGTACCAACCACTCCAACACTATATCCCCCCCTGCTTTTAACATTTCTGTCATGATCCCATCAGTTCCAGCTGCTTTACCCCCTTTCATTCTACGTAATGCCTCACGTACCTCCACCACACTTACATTCTGCTCTTCTTCACTCCTAAAAGATGGTATACCTCCCTGGCCAGTGCATGAAATTACCGCCTCCCTTTCTTCCTCAACATTTAAAAGTTCCTCAAAATATTCTCGCCATCTACCTAATACCTCCCTCTCCCCATGTACTAACTCCCCTACTCTAAACCATACCCCGGCCGGGATTGAATCCGCAGTCATAGAGTCTCAAAACTCCAGCCCGTCGCTGGCTAACGCGACGGGCTGGAGTTTTGAGACTCTATGACCGCGGGTTCAATCCCGGCCGGGGTATGGTTTGTTTGCAATCGTGTCATTACGATTTCGTGAGTCCCCTACTCTGTCTTTAACTGACAAATCCGTACTTTCCCTAGGCTTTCTTAACTTGTTTAAATCACTAATAGTAATAGTTCTTGTTCTTATTATTTCCTTTGACCTCCATGGGGAAGTAGAATAAGTGTCCTACCTCTGTAAGCCAAGTGTGTTGTAAAAGCCAACTAAAATGCCAGGAGCAATGGGCTAGTAACCTCTTCTCCTGTATAGATTACTAAAAATAACTGGTTAGCTGGACTTGAGTCCTGGAGGTGGGAAATACAGCGCCTGCACTCTTAAGGGAAAGGGTTTGTGATATTTCCTGTTTAGAGGGACACCTAAACTGTTGTATCTCTGCACCTCTGGCAAGTGAGAGATAGTGTGAATGATGGTGAAAGTGTTTCTTTTTTGGGTCACCCTGCCTCTGTGGGAGACAGCCAGCATGTTAAAAAAAATTGTTGTGCCTGGAAGAGAATAAACACAATCATTTATTACTTTTTTTAATCACATTCTTTGTAACTGAAACTTATTAAATAATAAATATATGAATATTTAACAATATTCTTAAAGCAATAAATTTGAACTTAATATTATTATGCTATTAATGATACAAAATTATACATTTGACAGGTAGGGCCAAATATTATTAAAGTTCTTCAACCACATGTAATAGAAGGAAGGTTTTGCCTTGCAGGCCGAAATATGTGCAGTGGATGGAGCTCTAGCATTTATCTGCAGCACGTTAACCTACAAGTCACAGTCCAAAACTCTAGCCATTGTTGAGAATGGAGGTGGAATACTCAGGAATATTTCTAGTCATATTGCTGTCAGAGAGGATCTTAGGTAAGTAGTAATTTATCATTTGGCCATGTTAAGAATTAAATTAACAGGTATGATTTTGAGGGGGTATTTATGTAATAAATGCTTTAGCAGAGAATCATATCAGGGATATTACTAGTATGATAAATGTGATATTTTAGACAGTGGGATGCCTGACACTTGATTTTCAGTGTGCGGCAAGAGCAGTCTTCTAAATTATACCAGTATCATAGAGAGAAAGGATAATTAATAATGCAACATAGGCCCAAAGGATAATTTATTGTTCATAACAATTTGCAGTTTTTGGTTACAAAACCTAATGGATGCAAAATTAATCTATTAATAATTTTGGGGACCTGAAATACGATGGTAATTTTAAAGTGATTGAAACAGGGAAAGACATTTGTGAACATCATATTCTGTGTACTATATTTTAACATAGAAAATATTTATCATTGCATTTTTTGTTACAGGCAAGTGCTAAGGGAACACAATACATTGAGCACATTGTTAGGGCAGCTACGTTCACCAAGTCTAACTGTGGTGAGCAACGCCTGTGGAACACTTTGGAACCTCTCGGCAAGATGCAGTCAGGACCAGTGTATGTTGTGGGAACTTGGTGCTGTTCCAATGTTACGATCACTGATTAATTCAAAACATAAAATGATATCAATGGGCTCCAGCGCTGCTCTAAAGAATTTATTGCAAGCACGACCAGAGGGAATGTCTTTGACAGATCCTCGGCATGGCATGGGCTTGCCTTCCTTACAAGCCCGTAAACAGAAAGCTCTAGAACAGGAATTAGACCCATCACTATCTGAGACATGTGATAACATTGAGACTTCCCCACGTTCTTCTCCAACTCTTCCTCAGGGTAGTGATCCACATTTTTATGGTCAGCCAGGAGATGCTTCCCAGTACTATCCAGGTACCAGACCCATGTTTCACTCTTTGGGAGCACAGTATAATAATGTATTGCGATCTGAGAGTAGAGACTCCATATCCTCAACCCATTCTGATAATTCACACGATCGAATGAGGCAGCTGTTAATGAGGCATCATCAAAGTAATCGTGAAGGCATTGGTGAAAATGGTAGACCTTTAGATTTATCACTTAGATCTATGGCACCTCCATCACATTGTGTTCCAGATATTGCACACATGAGCCAAGAGGAATTGCAGAGACATCTGGAATCAAAAGAATTTAATGGAAGTGCTGATGAGATATTTGCTTCACGTGTTAGAAGCATGAAAGATGCATACAGCCGTCAACCTAGTGAATCAGTACCTTTTAGTGATAGTGTAAGTGGTAGTGCCAATATTAGCCGAAATGGGTCATTCCAAGCTTCAGGTCCACAACCACCATACAGTCCTCGTAGAAGGTCATCAAATACAAGTGAGGATGAGAGAAGTGGAACCGGAAGAAGTTTTGCCAGTGGCAAGCAACAGCAGCAGCAACCTCACAATGAAGCTCATTATAGTTACTATAGCAAATATGTGAATTATAGCCGCAACCTGGCAGAGGTAGACATCGAAAATGATGCCCAAGAAGAGCCTCTTAATTACAGCCTCAAGTGTGGTGCAGGAACAACAATGAAAACACCAACTAATGAGTCAATGGCTAATATAACACAGGGTACTGAAAGACCAGTACCTCAGATTGATAATTATGTGGTGGAGAGAAGAGAAACTAGAAAAGCAGAGCCACATCCTGAAGCTGAGAGAGAGCCAGAGAACTTCACTGGTTATACAGAAACAGACCTTGACCAGCCTACTAACTTCAGTCTAAGGTATGTTATCATCTAGGTTTGATAATACACTTTTTATGAAAACAATTTTTTTTTTCCCCTTATTTTTGTGCTGTTCAGTAATTTTTCTTTATATTTCTTGCACTCTTGCATACTTTTTTCTTTCTAATATCTTTGCTAATTGGGTCAATATTTTGCCTTTGCCCTATTATAATTAATTGTATTTAAGAAGAAGCATTGATAATTCATTGATGAAATATTCTATTATGTTTTTAAAAATTACTAGAAAATATATTTAGTGATTTTTGTGTTTATCACCAATCACTTACCATTGGTCGTGGAACAGTATGCTATTGGGTCAATCTCTGGTACTGGTGGAGTTACCCGAAGCTAATCAGTAGCAGTGCGAGGGACCGGTACAAGGCAGAGAGAGCAACAGATCTCTGGATAATTTTGAGCAAAATGATGACTTTGAGTGGTTTGTAACTACTGTGATCTGCTGATAATCTTAGATTCGGCTTTTTTCTGCCATGGGCTTTGTGCTAGATTGTTTTTACAATGTTTATACCTGTAATGCTGAGTATAGTGTCATGCTAAAAGTATTAGTCTGCTTTTGTCTTGGTTTGTGAGACCCGTTTTAAGGAAATATTTTAGCACAAAAAACCACATACTCTTAATACTTGTTATATTACCAAAAATATGAAAAAATTAAACATTACAGATGTAATACTTTTCAGAGGGAACAAAAAATCAGAAAGTGAATATAATTTCTTTACAGTTTATCTGCCTTTCTAAAAAGTTGCTTCTCACTGTTAAATTGAATATTGGCTGTAAAGCTGAGTGAAACACCTTTACACTGTAAAGTTAGACACCAACAATAATGTCTAAAAGTGTTGCGAGCATTTTGCATATTAATTCATGTTTGTCATATGTGTAAACTAATAACTTCTTGCATTCACCATAAAGTATATATTAATGTGGAGAATAAACACAAGAAAAAACTGATTAGTAAAATTTATGGAATGTTGTAAGATTGTACCAATAGCATTTCTGTAGAGAGTAAATTTTTAAGCAGGACAAAGCTTTATTCTGTACACTACTGTATTATCATTTAACCACTATATATCCAAAAGATTTAGTTCAGAAATGGTGTTAGCATGATGGTTTGAAGCTAGTTGTGACTAATGTAAAGTGTTTAACTTTTTACCTAGAAAAGCTGAGCTGTGA